ACAGGCCTCCACTGTATGCATCCAGTTTGGAAGTGGCCATGATCCCACAACTACATAAAAACAAAAGGCAAGAATAAAACCTTCAGGATGAAAACTACTGAAACTAGCAGCTTTAGACACCCCCATGAAGACCACTATCCAATCACAAAGCCTGATTTTGGTCAGATTTAGTAAGAACCGGTGTAGTACAGCGATTAAAGCAGTGATGGCGAACCCTTTTAGAGACTGAGTGCCCAAACTGCAGTCCAAAACCCACTTATGTATCGTCGGGTGCCAGGTGGGCATGGCCAATTGGCTGGGTGTGGCCAATTGACTGGGTGTGGCCAATTGGGTGGGCGTGTCTGCGGTGGTAACGGCAGACTTGGTGGGACTAAAAACTTCAATCAATCAATTCCAACTTTGCAAGATCTTTTTTTTTCCTGCAAGAAGTTGAAATTGATTGATTGAACTTTTTTTTTTTTTGCACACAGCGGTGGAGGCCTAAAGCGAAAAGGTTTTATAAAACCCAGCTGAAGGCCTAGGACTGGGGTAACCGTGCGCGTGCCCACAAAGAGGGCTCTGCGTGCCACCTGTGGCACGCGTGCCATAGGTTCGGCACCACGGGATTAAGGTATCAGGCTGATTTTAAGGTTTAAGTCCATCCTTAGCCATGGGAACTTAGAATCTGGATCTTTGCAAGAAGGAAAAAAAATAGATTTGAAGAAGTTAGGTTTGTCACTGGAGTACAATATGGACCTGTCCTTGCAGATTTCTTGACAACAACATAGAAAAGGTTTCTTCTACAATGGTTTTATTCTTTCCAACCTGTTGGGATATTTGAAAGAAAGTATATAAAAAGATTCCATCTATTAGCAGAATAACTCTTGAAAAACTGATCAGAACAAGACCAAGCTCAGTGTGACAGCCAGCAAAAGAAAATCATGTTTGAAAATGGGCCAGGTTTGGCCAAATGCCGAGGAACAAAACATTTCTGGGAAATTCCCTCAATGCAGTGGAAGAGGCAAATGGGTAGCCTGCCAGAATCCTACCAGATGTTCCCTTTTGGAGCCCCTCCCTTCCGGTCTTGTGATGAAGGAGCAGAGCTGTTGTTAAGAGGTTGGAAAGAATTCCAGAAACTTTCTCTACAATCCTGGGCTTTCCTAGCTGTTGTGGGGAAAACAGGAGGATAAAGGAGTATTATATATGTTCACTGTCTTGAATTACCTGTAAAGTAATAAAGGCAGGATAAAAATAAATAAATTAATAAAATAGCTCATAAAGTAGGGGATAGCCAAGAACCTACAATGCAATTGTGGTGCATCGGAACAAATAATAACACATATAGTTCGAGAATATCTTGTCAGGAAATTTCAAGGCACCCAGGATGACCTTATTGCAGCCACACCAAGAAGCAGCTAGATCAGTGATGGCGAACCTTTTAGAGACCGAGTGCCCAAAAACTGGCCCTGCCCCCGCTCCACCCCCTGCCACGCCCCCACCCTGCCTGCCCCCAGGGCCACTCATCGCCTCCAGGGCCCACCGCAGATCACCCAGGCAGCCCAGCAGCGCCATGGCGGCCACGCCCTCTGCCTGCACCCCGCAGCATCAACTTTGCGCGATGGGGCGTAAGGGCAGAGTCTTGTCTACGCTGCCTGGCTGCCATGTCCTTGGCTGTACTGCTCCACGTGGGCCACGCTCGGGGGCAACTCTCCTCCAGGGGGGCTGCTGGTGAGGGGGTCGCGAGGGGAGGCAAGGCTGGGGCAATGGCACATGTGCCCACAGAGAGGGCTCCGAGTGCCGCCTCTGGCACACGTGCCACAGGTTCGCCTCCACTGAGCTAGATGGTTAGCTTCCTTAGATATCGAATTGTAACATCTATATCCCATTGCAATTCTATGGCTCCAGATTATGGTGATTTTTATCATGATTTTTACCTTAATTTAAGGTACTGTACTCTTGTGTGTGTGCGTGTGTGTGTGTGTGTGCGCGCACACACACACACACACACATATTTGCTGATACTCTATTTGAACTTATATTTGTGTTTGTGTATAAAGTTTTATTAGTGTTGCATATCAGTTTTGCATGATCTCTGTAAATGCCACATAAAAAATAAATAAATCCAAGCACTGCAATAATAATAACAACAATAATAATAATAGTAATAGAATTGGAAGGGATCTTTCAGGTTTTCTAGTCCAACCCCCTGCTTAGGCAGGGTTTGAAGGGGTTGGTTTTTTTTCCCGTTGAACCTCCTATGAAACCATCTACCATTCTTTTCCTGGGAACCTCTGTTCTGTCCCAGCCTGCGCGAGTCCTTATGAAGCTCACAAGGAGAAATCCCTCTTCAAACAAGCAGGCTGGAACCACAGGAAAAAACCAATCCCCTTTTATTATTTACAGACCTGAGTAAAATGTCCAAAGGCAAAGGCAAACAAAACACAATTCACTGAAACTTGATTCCTTAACACAAGCGGTTGCCTTCAGCAACCAGCACCTCCCACACCTTCTCTTTTATTATGCAGCCCAAGGTGTGGCTTCCTAATGCCTTCTCCTTTGCCTTTGGAGCCGCCCCATTGCATTCCTCTGTCCAACTCTCTTTGCCTGCATCCTGGATGTCTTCCAGCTGTGAGTCCTCACTCTCCGACTCAGCCTCCCAGCACAGCTGTGTCTCAGCCTGAGCGCAAGTAGAGGGGCCAGGCTCCTTATTAGACTGTAAGTCTTGGAGCTCATCAGAGCCTTCCTCTAACTCTGATGTCACTCAAGGCCCTCCTCCTCCTCCTCTGATTCCCCAGACTCAACTGCCGGGTCCACTGGCTGACGAGGAATCACAACAACCTCTTGGTTTATTAGCCTGCAATTGCATGCCTATACATATTAGCCCAAACTCTCTTACTGGATTATTCTAGGGTTTTTAAGCTGGTAGAATGCTTTAGGTCAGTGATGGCGAACCTTTTAGAGACCGAGTGCCCAAACTGCAACCCAAAACCCACTTATGCATCATCGGGTGCCGGGTGGGTGTGGCCCATTGGCTGGGTGTGGCCCATTGGCTGGGTGTGGCTGCAGTGGTAAAGCCAGACTGGGTGGGACTAAAAAGTTCAATCAATCAATTCCGACTTTGCAAGACCTTTTTTTCCCCACGAGAAGTTGAAATTGACTGATTGAACCTTTTTTTTTTTTGCACACGGTGGTGGAGGCCTAAAGCAAAAAGGTTTTATAAAACCCAGCTGAAGGCCTAGGACTGGGGCGAAGACGCGCATGCCCACAGAGAGGGCTCTGAGTGCCGCCTCTGGCACCCGTGCCATAGGTTCGCCACCACTACCTTAGGTTTAATAAAGTGAACTATAAGTGTATCAGAATCCAAAATCTGATGGTTAAAATTCTTTCCCCCTCCTCTCCATCCCAATGATTTAAGATAGTTTCTTTAATAGTATTAATTAATTGCTTTTACTAGCATACTTCTAGTTTACATAGAAAATGTAAACTCCTTGCTGCCTTTAATGGTTATCCTGATTCTTGTAGCCTAGATATGTTAGGTCTGACAGAAAGTTTGAGGCAGTGGTTAAAGGCATCAGGCTAGAAATTGGGAAACTGGGAGATCTAGTCTCACCTTAGGCAGAAAGCCAGCTGGGTGACTTTGGGCCAGTCCCTTTCTCTCAGCCCCAGACAGCAGGCAATGGCAAACCACTTCTGAAATCTTGCCAAGAAAACTGCAGGGACTAGTTCAGGCAGTCTCCAGCAACCCACACTTATCCAAAGGCATCCCACACAAAAAATTATAGCTGATCAACTGACATAATCAATTACGTGAAGGCTTCCGCATATTACCTAGTGTTTTTCAACCTTGAAGTTTAAGATGTGCAACTCCCAGAAATCCCCAGCTATCCTATCTTAAACTTGTGAAGGTTGAGAAACACTGATCTTGAGCCTTAGCATAAAGGATGCATTGCTTTACCTGATTGGTCCATTTGCATAGATTTCTGCCATCATCTTTTCTCGACCGCTGAGAGTTCCATAATCTCCAACCTTCCAGAGGGTGTAATTTTTTATCACGTGGCATTCCCCGAAGGTAGTACACGTTCCACATTGGTTAAATTTCTTGCACTCTATGAAAAACAAATAGAATTTTGGCACCAAAAAATTGCCTTTCCCCAAAAAGATAACAATGAAATGAATAAGATAGATAGATAGATAGATAGATAGATAGATAGATAGATAGATAGATAGATAGATAGATAGATAGATAGATAGATAGATAGATAGATAGATAGATAGATAGATATTAGATAGATAGATAGATAGATAGATAGATAGATAGATAGATAGATAGATAGATAGATAGATAGATAGATAGATATATTTAAACATATGTCCTGACAATTGGATGAATCACCTCCTGCTTGCCTTCAAAAGGAATCAGCCCACTCCCCATTTAAAGTGGTAAATATAAATATAGTAAATAAATAGTTTCGTGTAAAAAGCTAAAAACTGACGAGGGCCAGTTTGGTGCAGTGGTCAAAGCATTAGACTCAAAACTGGGAGATCTTGAGTTCTAGTCCTGCTTTAGGCACAAAGTCAGCTTGGTGTCACCTTTCTCTCAGCCCTAGGAAGAAGGCTGCAATGGCAAACCACTTCCAATATTCTAGAAAATTACAGGGACTTATTCAAGTAGTTGTCGGGATATATATTTAAATATATATATCTCTCTCTCTCTCTCGCTCTCTCTCATTTCTATCTATCTCTATCTATCCATCTATCTATCTACCTACCTACCTACCTATCTCTGAATAAAGGGGATTAACATTTTGTAAAAATAAATATATATATCTTTTTATGACCCTTTAATCCCTTTTATTTGGGGTGGAGTCAGGGCGATTGAATTGAGTTGAGCATTTCCTGGCCAGATGCCCTTCCCAACACCTACGTAGAGTTCACAGCAGATATTTTCTCTTTCAATATATATTTAAATATATATAGCTATGAGAGCGTTATCTGGTTAAAACAAGAAAATGTAATCTTCTTAAATACTCTATGGAAATGGTCTCTACACACCTGCACCAGATGTTTTTGACTTCTGCTCCCAAGATTTCCTACGCTGGATGTTTGTCTAAAATTTCTAAATGTTATCCTAAGACTCCTTTGCTTTTTGTTAGATGTATATCCTATTTTGTGCATCCCAAGGCACCAGGCATGCCCAACACTCCTGCCTCCTATATTCCCAACAACAACCACCCTATTAGATGGGTTGGGCTGAGAGTGACTGGCCTAAAGTCACCCAGTTGCTTCCAGGCCTAAGGGAAGACTAGCGCTCAGAATGTCCTGTTTCTAATCTACCACTTTAATCTCTACATCAAACTGGTGGGAGAAAGCTATTTCACAGATACTTCCAAGAGTATCATGACTGATCATGATCATGACTCAGAAAGCTTGGTAACTATGCTACATCTAAAAAAACCTGGAGACCTTTGGTATCATATCCCCTGTTCTTTCTAACCACCTTGCCATGGAGGGCTACATCAGAGCTTCTATGGGTGGGATGGAGATGAAGGCCCCTTGGAGCTGATTTCTATCTGCAGAGCTTCACATTAACACATGGCGATCAAAGGATGGAGATACAGAGATGAGCACATTTTCAAGTTGGGTTAAGGTCAGGGCTGCCCCATTCTCTCACTTTGATCTTTTGCCTGGTAGTTGTTGCAGGTCTCATCAGGGATACCATGCTGGTGAGCATACTCCCATACGCCTGTATGGTCTCCACCGTGACAGGTCCCTGCCTGGGCGCAGTCAAGGACGTGCTGAACTGAGAGGTAAGCAGAAGGCCAGGTGCCTTTCTTCTTGATGTTGATGCGATCTGAGAGCAAAAGAGCAGATGGTTGATGTATGGCATGGGTTGGGGCCTTCAGCATTCTGGACTTTGAAGGATGCTTTCTTATGGGGAAAAAGGGAGCAGGCAGCCTTTGGGGGAGAAGGGGGGGTAAAACTGAAACTTTGATACAGGTCCACCCGAATGTTTTATCACTAGGGCCACTGTAGGAGGGTACCCCATGAAAATGAAAGATTCTTGTTATGACCCCGGAAACACCCTGGTAAGGGTACTACCGATCGGATCCTTCCCTAGTTTATAAGTTCCACCGTGGACGAACTAGTTTCGGGGGGTGGGGAAAAAACGTCGAGGTAGGGCTTCAATCACAAACATGCAACCATCATTTTGACTTTTTTAAATTTCTCCCCATGGCTATTATTTTAAAAAATTTGCAGGTAGTTCTTGAGTTATGATTGGATGCTAAGTAATAGTGGATCCCCCCCCCACAAAGTACTTATTACCCGGATTTGAAGTTCCAATGGTCACCCCACCCCACCCCTGTGGGCATATGATTGCATTTTAGGTGTTTGGCAACCAGCCTGCCTTTGCGGTGTCCCACAGACACATGGCCATGATTTACAATGTGTCATGGCTGTAGTTCTGCTTCTAGCTTCGCATTGCATCTTGTTAGCCTGACTTTTACAGTGTAGGGGGGGGGGAGAGATTGGAATGTGGGGGAAGGACAGAGATGGGGGTAGGAATGAAGCCCTGTTGGTCCTGACAGTGAGTCACACCAATCCAGTGCACACGGTCACTGTTTATCATGGCCCCATCGGAGCCCAGTTCAGACGAGGAGGAGGAGAAGTTGGAAGTGACAGGGATGGCACGCCTCTCTTGGCATGTTTAGAGAGACCAGGGGCTGACAACGATGCTGTCCCGGGCCCCTGGGGGAGGTGGTCGACCAGATAGACAGCTGTCTGCCTGTACAGACACAGGGGAGAATCGGTTGCTGACAGGCAGTGATGCTGCTAGGCAGGCAATCTCCTCTGATGAGGAACAACTGCCTCCTCCACTTGATCCAAGAGCACAGAGAGCAGAGCGTAGGCAAGCTCAGAGAAGGGCTGCAAATCTACTCCTCCTCACAAGGAACACCTGGGATGGAGTAACTTAAGGAGAAGCCATGGGGAGTTAGCCTTTGCCAGGAACAATTGCTTGTTTTGGATTATACTCCCCCGGCTTTGACTCCTGCCTTTTTGCCTTGCTTTGAGGACTGCCATTTGACATGCCTTAGCATTATGGACTGCTTTTGCCCTTTGTTTTGCTTTACCTTCACAACTGCCTTTGCCTTGTACCTTGTCATTGCCGCCAGGACTGTCGTTTGTCTTATGCCTAGACTTTCCTGGTAATATTTCCTGACAGTTGACCAGTGGAACAACCTGCCTCCAGAAGCTGTGAATGCTCCAACACTGGGAGTTTTTAAGAAGAGACTGGACAGTCATTTGTCTGAAATGGCTGGCTCAGGAATTCTGGGAGTTGAAGTCCACGAGTCATAAAAAAGCCAAGGTTGTCTATCCCTGGTATAGGGTTTCCTGCCTGAGTGGACTAGATGACCTCCAAGGTCCCTTCCAACATTATTATTATTATTATTATTATTATTATTATTATTATTATTATTATTATTATTATTATTATTATTATATGGGCGCTTGTTTGGGGACTGAGGGTGGCTGCCTTCAGGATAGCATGTGGGGTGGAGTCTTACTGGTCATTGGAGGGCTATTTGTTGAGCACTTCATGAGGGCAATAAAGGACTCTCTAAAGGCCTGCCTTGCGTTGACCATCTGGGTCAGGGGTAGTCAACCTTGGCTCTTTTATGACTCGTGGACTTCAACTCCCAGAATTCTGGGAGTTGAAGTCCATGAGTCATAAAAGAGCCAAGGTTGACTACCCCTGATCTGGGTCATATCAAGGTCAGACAAAAAGAATGCAGAATTGGTGAAGGCGAAGACAGAGCAGCCATTTCCTAAACAACCTGAGAACTTCTAACTGGACATTGACTGATAACAGGGGTTGGCCAGGGAAAAAGGGGGAACTTAATTGAATCGTTTTTGCACCAAGCCAACAGATTCTGCCTTGCAACAATCTGAAACCACTTTATTCTCAGTAAAGTATACAGTACTCTCGGAAAAAGAATAATGTGCCAGGAGTCTTTCTTTGCTAATTAATTTACCGTATGTGGGATGGGTGACACAATGATTTTTTTTGCTGGAAACCAGCATGTATGTCCAGGTTTTGGCAAAAAATGCAAATTGCAGACAACAGGTTCACTTAATAACCATCACAAAAGATATTATAAAATTGGGTCAGTCACGTGATGACCCACTTGCCAACTGGCATGAGTTACAACCATAATTCCAGTCTCAATTATGGCTTATAGTCGTAAGTCGAGCATCTTGCTCTTTCTGGACTGGGAGACTCCAGATGTACAGAGTTGCACAATTTCTCAGCAGCGGACATGCTGCAAATTCTTGAAGCTCACTCGTTGGGAGGGCATCCTAGTGGAGGAAAGTTGCTTTACAATAGGCCAACTTTCCTTTACCATGAAATTAAAAACATATTGAAAAACCAGTGATATCCTGTGGGACAAGGAACTACTTGTGGTTATTGTGGAAGCTGGCCACAGACCCAATGCTGCATATCCCTGTTCCTACTCTGTAAGAGGCACTGAAAAACCCCATCCTGGAGAACATCAGTTATCCTTGAATCAAGCAGGATTCACCTCTTCAGACTAGGCTTGGGGAAAAGTTATAGTAGCAGGAGAGCTGGTGGAAATTGGAGGCAGTTTTAAATAACAGAAAAATATAGGAGACGGAATGGCAGAAATGGGAGTGGAGTCAAAAGAGGAATCAGTTTAGAATCTCTACATAGCCACAAACGACTAAGTCCAACCCTTCTTAAACTCCGTTGACCCTTATCTTACACCAACATAGCGCTGTTAGTTGAGTAGATTCTTGTGCATAGGCATGTTGAGTAATAAATCAGTTTAATTGGAACTTCCCGTGAAGTCTTGATCTTTCACTCTGAAAAAAGTCAACTTAGGATCCAACCCACAGAGAGAAGGACTATTGACTAAGGTTAAACTATAATAGAGAGGAAGGGAGCTTCCATATTCAGGCACAGTGTATTTTTATGAAAGAGGAGACAAGCATAGCATAGAACAACTACTTACCTGCCAGAGCACTGGTGCTGCCATGAGCCCAGCAAGATCCACAGTATTGGGGAATATGCTGGTTTCTAGTAGCGCTCACATAATTTACTCCCTTTCTATTTCTCCAGTCCCAACTCCTGGGCAGATTTGAAATATCTAAATATTCATGAGGACGAGGATAAGTTCTGTTAAGAGGAAAGATGAGAGTGTCAGAAGAGAGAACCAACTGATACTTTTTTTCCATTTGGGAGGAGGGGCAAAGGGGAATAACGTGTTCTACCATTGCCGGAAAATTTTACTCATTTTTCCACTGTCTTTAAGCTTCTCGTGATTCTCTTGCCTTCCAGACATGCAAGCTAATAACAAAAGCATGTTTTGCATACCCCTTCAATGAGTTTTCTCTTTTCATAGTTTCTGGTTCTACACTTAGTTTTTTCACCAAAACCAAAATACTTTTGGTTTTTCGTTTGATCCACTCAGTTTGTCCCGGTAGTCCGTGTCTGTTCTTCGAGACCAGTAAACGATAGTTAGCACTTTAACGTGAAATAATAGTAGAATGCTAACGTGGAACGCCAGTGGTGATGGTGAGGACACCCTCAACCTTCAGGCACAGAATGAATTCTTTCTTTAGACATTTCCAAAGCCAGAATTTTCTGGCATCAACTAGGATCTTTACAAGGGCCAGGCATGATAAGTGACCTAAACTAACGATGGAAGGAAAGAGAAGAAGACAACAACCAGCAGCAAAATGGATGGTTATAGCAGAAAAGATGCGCTGCTGGAAGATCTGAAAGGCCAAGTTGGACACAGATCATCCTGAAGAATGTTCATCTGTGTGGTCACTAAGAGTTGACCCTGACTTGATGACACATAATCTTATCAAGTAGCTGATTGAGAAGGAATTTACTGTGAGTCACAATCTTATGTACTAAACAGAAAAAAAGTGGAGGTCAGAGAGGTCATTGATAATGAAAAGGGAGAAATGAATCCTATCTCAGAAAATGAGGGAGGGGGCTACTCCTTACTCAGAGCAGAATGGCGGCTTCCCTTCTCAATAATGAAAAAAAGTGGGACAAATATAAGTCCCGTATTTGGGAACACCATTACGTTGGATCCCTTGATGCTTCTGATGTGCTGAGACATACAAAATTACTTTATGAACACAAGCATAAACACCCACACCGTTCTCTGAATATATTTAATGATGCTGATCGTTAGATATGGACATCATATCTAAGGAACTAAATAACTAGTCTGTTCATTTCATCCTTCCCATCAGGAAAGCAGGGCAACAGAAGTAGCTGCATGGGAGAATTTCCAGGAGGAAACTCCAGGGCTCAAGGCTATACAGGTAGTCCTTGTTTCCTGACCTCAGTCAGGGCCGGCAACTAGTTCATTAAGGGCAGTGATCACTAAGTGAAACCATAACTGCGCTTATGACTTCAGCTTTCCTTTGGTTTACAGACTCTTGAAGTTAGCAAAGGTGAAGACTGAGTTGCAAAATGACTTTTTCATCACCATGGTAACTCTGTGTATTTTCCCCCTCCCCACAAGCCTTTAGTGTTTTCCAGACTCATGTAGCATCAATGTCATTCAAGAAGGCTCCTTGGCTCATATTGAGTAAAAATTAAACAGCCTTCCGAGATCACACTGGGGGGTTGAAATCCTAAATGCTCTGGATTGACCCTGAAGGAGGAGACCAAATTCCAAAGTCTCTTGCTTTGCTCTCACATCCATTTAACCAGCCCTGCCAAATGCCTTTCAATCAGTTCTACAACTGTCATCCAAAGGGTCCGCATCTGGGGGGTCCTTATTGGACGCAAAGGCTGAATTCACACAAGATGCCTATTCGGGTTGCTGAGCTTGCACAAAACGAAGCATCAGAATGTAACCAATGGCAGAGTTCACTCAGCACGCTAAACTCCTCCCCCCCCCCCCAGCAAACTTAGTTTGATGTGTGAATGCATCCCTTAACCCGATTAAATGGGGTTGTGGGTATAGGATCGGAGTCATTACGAGGGATCTAATTGGGGATTTCAATCTCCATAAGTTGCAGCAGAAAGTTGGGAAAACAGCGAGCTGCCCATCATGTCAGCACGGGCTGACAGCAATTCCGCACCGTTCCGGACACGGGTTGTTTCTCCGGCTCCGGAGAGACAGAAGCCTGACCCGGGATCAGAGACGCTACCTAATAATGACATCCAACCCTCCAGCCTCCTCCCGGGAGGAACAGGGTTACTCAAGATCCGAGTGCGCGGAGATTCCCGCGCTCCCGGCCCCGGCTGCCTCCCGGGGATGCACACCAAAACATGCGCCGCCGTCGCCACTGCGCCATTGCAACCGGCAGCCGGTCTAGGGGCGGAAGGATCGCGGTTTCGCTGCCTTACCGGAGGCCGGCGAGCTTGCGCGTCAGGGGCTTATGGCAGCTCTGCCCTTCTTGGAAGTGAAGAGCAGCGGCGGCGGCGCCCAGCAGCAGCAGCAGAACCAGGGCGAGGCCCGGCAGCAGGCGAGGCGCAGGCATGGTGGCTTCTGGCGACGGTCACCCCCTGCCCTCCCGGCCAATTCGGGAACCTCGGCTGCGGCGGCCGCCCGCTGCTTATAAAGGAGCACCGGGTACCGGGCGTGAATGACAGCAGCGGCACGCGCGCGCGCGCGCGCACGCACGTGGACGCACGCTGAAGCTCACCCACGCGCGGCTTCTCTACGGATTTCCCACCCCCTTGCCCCCTCCCCCCCCCACATACCCGGCGTGGCTCTTTTGCACCGTGGAAAAGCAGAAGCCCGGTAACGGATCCCAGCGCCCCCAGCTTGCACTAGCGTGGCCCGCCTTGAGCCTGGGAATCACCGGCGGGGGAATTTGCGTTGTTCCAGGAAAGTCGGGGAAGCCCAGCTAGGCAGCTTCAGATGTAGAAGATCAGAGAAATGGTTCGGGGGGGGGGGAACTGCTGGTTTTGCAGGAGAGAACCGAAAATCCCTCAAACAGGATCAGGCCAGAGCTCCTCCGATCCAGCATGAGTGCTGTGGGTCGGGGTCCCCAAGCAGTTCCTTGTGTAGGTGGTCTCCAAATCTGGAGAAGAAGGCAGCTGTCTTTATTTTCCCTGATTCTGCCCAGCAGTTGATTTTTCAAGAGGTACTTATTGCCTGGATCTTTGGAGGAAGATGAGAACCCGCAAAATCCTTAGCAGGTAGTCCTTGACTTACAGCAGTTCATTTGGTGACTGTTCAAAGTTACAACGGTAGTGAAAAAAAGTGAATTATGGCCGTTTTTCACACTTATGAAAATCCCCAAAGCCGTGTGATCAAAATTCAGACAGCTGGCAACTGACTCACTTTTGTGACAGTTGCAATGTCCCGGGGTCATGAAGTCACCTTTTGTGACCTTGTGACAAACAAAGTCAATGGGGAAGCCGGATTCACTTAACAACTGCGTTACTAACTTAACTGCTGCAGTGATTCACTTGAACAGATGTGGCAAGAAAAGTGGTAAAGTGGAACAAAACTCACTTAACAAATGTCTCACTGAGGGCTAATAAACGGATAGCTTCTTTGGATTGTTGGGTGAAACTTTGTGGAAATTCTGTTTGGAGCGTGTTCATCTGGCCATAGAGTCCCCCATGTAGTCTTTGATGCTCCCTGAACCTGCAGGTTGTTTGCCTGCAGAGTTTCATTACCCAACTAGATAACATCACCAGTATCTAGTAGAGTAATGAGATGTCTTCAAGCAAACAACCAAGCCTGGGAGCACCCAGGATTTCACAGTTCTAGCCTGAGCTACACATAAGCTCTTCTTTTTTTAAAAAAAAAAAATATTTTATTAAGTTATATAAATAAGGAAAAAATAGGAACAATACAGGTGGGGGGGAAGGGGATGGGGAATTTAGGATGGAATAAGGATAGGTACAATAATCACATACTTTAACAAACAAGCTACCGTCCGGATCATAATAATGAGTAAATATCATACTCAACCATTTTAAAATAAGATTAACTATAACCATATTACTAACAATTAATAAACAAATAAATTCATCTATGTAAATAAACATGAGTAAAATCTCAACTAGTCATAATTATCAACATTAACGGTTAAAAATCACTAAATCACTAAAGATAAAGATGTTATCAACCTATAAATTATAACTCAGTTAAAAATCGATCATCTATTCTGAAATATTAAGTCCTTTTCAGATTCTAACGCGTCTCTAACCATTGATACAAATTTTCTCAAGTTTTAAAATAAACTGAATCATCTTTTTCTTTCGTCTCCAATGTTAATCTATCCATTTCTGCACACTCTAACATTTTAGTAATTATAGCCTGGTCAGATGGTAGATTCTCATTTTTCCAAAATTGGGCAAATACTATCCTTGCAGCTGTTAAAACATGTAGTATCAAGTAGTCATTATCTTTACCATAATTAGGTCTTAATATTCCTAGCAAAAACAATTCCGGTTTAAATTCTATCTGTATTTTCATCATCTTTTCCAACCATCTATGGATCTTAGACCAATATTTCTTAGCATTAGGATCCACCAGGCATGGTAATAAGTGCCTGGCTGTTGTTTACATTTCCAACAAGTATTCGATACATTTTTAAACATTTTCGCTAAGCAAACTGGTGTCATATGCCATCTGTAAAACATCTTGTATAGGTTTTCTTTATATGCTGCTGCTGAGCTACACATACGCTCTTCTGTAGGATCTCCTTTTTAGCTCCTCTGTGATGCAAAAGAGGTTAACAACTTTGGTTTTGTGATAGAGACAGGTCTTGTCTGCGGAGGGAGGGAGGGAGGGAGGGGCTGGTTGGTAGGAGATGTCTCTCAGCACCCATCAAAATAACAGAATAGCAAAGTTGGAAGGGACCTTGGAGATTCAGCTGAAAATGGAAGACTAGACAAATATGAGGCTGGGCCAGGCATTTGCCATCTGAGAGAAAGGATAAGAGGAGCCTCCTCCCACTTCATATGCAAAATGATTGACAGGAGAATCTCCCACATTGCTCAAAGGACACGTCCACACCCTGTTCCAGCATGTACACCAAGAGCTAGAAACCCACACAGGACTGGTTGCAGACCATAGACTGCCCATTCATAGCCGCCTAGCATTCAGGCATCAAGTCCATCTGGTTTCTGAGTAACATTTTGCACCAGAAATTCTCTTTATTCTACTTTTTGTGAACAACTCCTTAACCTCCAGCAGGATGATCAAAGTTCAATGCAATTACGGTAATCCTGCCTGGAAAAAAAACCCCACTAGAGCAAAATACCACTTTTTTTTTTAAACAATGGGCTTACTGGAGTGAGAATTCTCTTCCAGCATTCCTACTAACCTGTTGCTTAATGCTGCC